GAGGCTTAGAATTTTATTTTTGGTTTACCAGCACACGTGTGATTCATACAAGGCTCTCTGTGCCAGGCACTGTGCTGGGCTCTGGCTATGTGACCAGTTGGCTCATGACCACAGCTGACCTTCCTGGAGCCACAGTACCCTCCTGGAGTTTGCAGACCAGTGACTGAGTCAGGACACCCAAGTTCCAACCCTGACCTTGCCACAAAGTAGCAGGGTGACTGGACAAATCGCTGACCTCTGTGGGTTTCAGGTTCCTCACTCATAAAATGAAAGGTCTGGGCCAGATCACTCCTAAGGGTATTTCCAGTTCTTTCATTCTATGACTCCATCCCTGGATCTGGTAACTACTGAGATGCCAACTTTACAACAACAAGATCAAGGCCAGATTTCTAGACAAGTTCTCATAGCATGTTGGAGACAGTTTCTTAATTCAGAGTACAAAAGAGTCACAGATGTCCGACACTCACGTATTTTTATAAGCCTATTAAGGTTTAAATTAATACAGTAAACTGAGTGTGTCTGAAATGTGTAATGTCGTGAGAGTTTTGACCTATGCATTCACCGGTGAAGCCATCATCTCAACAAAAATACAGAACCTTCTCATCAGTTTCCCAAAATTCCTTGCACTCCTTCACGATGATCCGTTCCCCCTTCCATTGTCTCTACTGACCATACAGAGAAACCACAGCCATAGGTGGGATCAGGGAGGATGGAAGACCTTGTTGCTCCTGTTGGGAGAAATGGAAATTAAGTTGCTATGGTGGGAGGCATTCCTGGTTGAAGGCCGGAGGCTGAACGAATCCTCTGAATCCACAGAGGACAAAAAAAGGAACAAGAGATCGAGGGCTAAGAATGAAAGGATGAGTATCTCCAACCAGAGAAAGGAAGAAGAGGAGACGGAGAAGACTAAAAAGGAGCCTGAATTATATTTGGCTTTTGTGATGGAAAGAGTTTAGCATAAGAAAGCCAGCTTCTCAGAAGAGAAGATGGGTGGGGTGGATGCTCACTGGGACCGGGACATGTGGTCAAATCCACCTGACAATGGACTGGGCTGCTCAGGTTTGGTTTATTTTGTTTTGTTTTCTTTATACTGACTGATATTTTTCAATTAAGTGAGAAAATCCACCATAAAACTCATGAAAACTGGATGTAAGTTCAGGTAAACCGAGGCACAGAGCAGGAAAGCTCTTAAGTAATTCAAGTCAGAACTAGTCTTCGGCCTCTGTCACAGGTCTCAGCCCATGCGTGAGGGGAGGGCTGCATAGGAAAGGTTTTTCCGAGAGCTCTGGGTCACACAAGCTCCCCTATAGTCAAGATGATGGACCAGGAAGAGGGAATCTGGGTTTCTAGGGGCCATGCCAGCCCTGGACTGCTCATCTCAGATTGCCCACCACAAAACTATTGTAACGACTCACCCTTTATTCTTTTTGTTTTGTTTTGAGACGGAGTCTTGTTCAGGCTGGAATGCAGTGGCGTGATCTCAGCTCACTGCAACCTCTGCCTCCTGGGTTAAAAGGATTCTCCTGCCTCAGCCTCCCAAGTATCAGGGATTACAGGTGCACCCCACCATGCCCTGCTAATTTTTTTGTATTTTTAGTAGCGATGGGGTTTTACCATGTTAGCCAGGATGGTCTCGATCTCCTGAACTCGTGATCCACCCATCTCGGCCCCCCATAAGAGCTGGGATTACAGGCGTGAGCCACCACGCCTGGCCTCACCCGTTATTCTTAAATACAAAACATTAATGTCAGCAATTATCCATTAAGCCAGAGGTTTCCAAACTTTCCCAGTTCATGAACCCTTAGTGTCTTAACACTTTTTTTTCTCATGGTGCTTCTAGGCCAAAAGAAATACTAAAAATTGCATTTATTAAGTTGTTAAGTTTAAATTAATCTTAGTAGTAGTGGTCAGCTCTATGTCCAGCAGACATTGTTGTTTCCCTTGATGTCCAACAGATGTCTCTGTGTGTCTGTCTTCTCCCCATGCATCTGCACTGGGGCACCACAGTGTAGTTTAGATGCTGCAGTTCTAGGTGTGAAAACTCTGTTGGGATACACTTGGTAATCCTGTAGCCTGACTAATCACAATGACTGGATAATGTTTAAACCGACAATTTCCGTATCATGACAAAGCATTGCATTCACTGGTGAAATGGCCAGGTGCAGTGGCTCACGCCTGTAATCCTAGCACTTTGGGAGGCCATGGTGGGAGGATTACTTGAGTCCTGGAGTTTAAGACCAGCCTGGGCAACATAGTGAGATCCCCATCTCTATAAAAGTTTTTTTAAAAAATGAGCCAGGTATGTTGATGTCCACCTGTAGTCCCAGCTATTAGAGGCTGAGTTGGGAGGATGGCTTGAGATCTAGGTGGCAATGAGCTGTCATCATGCCAGTGCACTCCAGCCTGGGAGTGAGACCACGTCTCAAAAAAGAAAACTCAAATAGCAACATTGCTTCCACCTCATTATCTAAGAAGCCCCTCCACAGTACAGAAGCTCTTCCTCACTATTAGTCAGGGTTCTCCAGAAAAAAACAGAACTAATAGGAGAGATAGATGGTAGATAGACAGATAGACAGACAGACAGATAGTTAGACAGAGATAGTTGAAATAGAGATGAGATATAAATTTATAGATGATATAAATATATAGATAGAGATATAAGATGAAGCTGTTTATTTTAAGGAATTGGCTCCTGTTGGATTACAGAGACTGGCAAGCCGAAACCTGGGGTGTGGACTGTCAGGCTCCAGACACAGGAGAGCTGATGGTGCGGCTCTGGTTTAGACGGCCGGCAGGCAGAGCCCCAGAAGAGCTGACGATGCAGATGAAGTCCGAAGGTGGGCTGCTGAGGAATTCCCTCTTGTGCAGGGAGGCCAATCTGTTTTGTTCTATTCTGGCCTTCAAGTGGATTGGATGAGGCCCACCCCATTATGGACGGTGATCTGCTTCTTCAAAGTTTACCAATTTAAACAGTAATCTCATCCAAAGAGTCCCTCCAAGTTGACATATAAGAGGAACCACTAGACTCCCCAGCAGCCTTCACATGAGCAGTACCTTCAGCATGCACCCTACCATCTTTGCAGTCCCAGGAGACAGAGTCTTGTTCCTGCTAACTCCAGCAGAGGTCTTGGTCTTGCTCTTATGTCCCATAAATCCCACAGCCCATTGCTGCTCCCATCCCTGTGGCCAAAAGCAATGTCCTCGTAGGCCGGCTCGAGTCCTACTGCCCACCCCAGGCTCCAGCAAAGGGTCAGCCATGCAGAACTATGCAAATTGGAGAGTGGGTGAAAAGGAAGGGCCCCCCCCACACAGAAGTCAGAGTGCAGTGAGCAGGAAGGTGGAGTGGACACGTGATGTCCTGATATGGCCGTTCTGGCTGGCTGCCCTCCACTGGGCCTACCTGAGCCCCAGGTTCTCAGGACCTTCTGAAAAATGACTTCTAGAGATTGTAGCTGTAGGACCACTGGCGGAGCAGGGTTAGAGTGGGGGAAAGGAGATCTAGGAAGCGTTTTTTCACAATCTCTTTCTGAAGAGCACTCAACCCAGGCTGCAGGGCACGAGGAAAAGCTCAAGCCTCCATTTAAAGATTTGCATTTCCTGAATTGCCTCTGCATCTTTGGTGGTGGCCCAGGAAATCTGAATCTGGAGGAAAGAGGCACGTGACAGCGCTGGGTCTGCCTGAGCAGAAGACAGGAGCCCTGTTCTCAAAGGGCTTCTTGTGAATGGCGGTCCACCCCACAGCAGCCCGACGAGCCGTATGCTGCAGGGTGGCAGAGTCCTCCCTGGTGCAGACGTGCCACCTACTGGTGGAACACAGCAGGGCTGAGCCATGGAGGGAAAGCCGCTGAAAGAAGAAGCGAGAGCCTCTGAGCGTGAAGGAGAGAGCACGTGGGGAGCGCCATCAGCTTGGCTCCAGGATGAGACAGAAGGGAGAAGGCGCAGCATAGGGAGCAGAAGAAAGGTGATTTTGAAAAGTGGGGGTGGTCGTCCCTTTTCACACAGCTGATAAAGACATACCTAAGAGTGGGTCATTTATAAAGATAAAGAGGTTTATGGGCTCCCAGTTCCATGTAGCTGGAGAGGCCTCACTATCATGGTAGAAGGCAAGAGCCACATCTTCCATGGTGGCAGGGAAGAGAGAATGAAAGGCAAGCAAAAGGGGAAACCTCTTATAAAACCGTCAGATTGCTTGAGACTTATTCACTGCCATGAGAATAGTATGGGGAGGATGCTACATGACACGATTATCTCCCACTGGGTCCCTCCCACGTGGGAATTTTGGGAGCTACAATTCAAGAGGAGATTTGGGTGGGGACACAGCCAAACCGTTCAGTGGGGTCCTCGGGAAGCATGAAGGTTGCTTGAAAGAAGGATGACAACATATTATTGTCCTTAAGGTAGGGTAAGCATAAGCACGTTCGTTCTGACGTGCGGGAGTGATGTAAGGGGCTATGTGAAGGCTGCCTGGGCGGTGTGGAGGCTCATCTCCTGTGTCAACTTGGAGGGCGTCTTTGGATAAGATTGACATTTAAATTGATAATGTTTGAATCAAAAGATTGCCTTCCATTGGGTGAGTGGGCCTTGTCCAATCCATTGAAGGCCTGCGTAGAACAAAGAGATTAACTTCCCAGCCCAAGGGGGAGTTCTTTGTTCTTATCATGGCCATCACTGAGAAGGGACAACAGTCCCTGCCATCACCCTTCAGCCCCTTGACTCAGCCACACCTGACCTCGTCATGCCAGCCCTGGATATTTGTTCGTTGGGTTTTCTGTTGTTGCTGTTGTTATATGTATCCATAAAGGCTCCATTTTGGCTGAAGTGAGTTGGAATTAGGTGACTGTCACCTGGAATGGAAAGAGTCCTGACTGATCCACAGACCCAAAGTGCAGTCCCCAAACCGGGGCTCCAGCCTGACTTTCTGGTTCTCCCAGTCCCAGACTCCGCCCTGAGCTGCAGCCAGATTCTCTGCTGGAGATGCGTTCTCACGCACCCTCCCTTGGTTAAAAGAATAGCCTCTATTTTATTATCAGTATAAAATAGCTCTGAACAACACATGGGACAGGGAACAGAGCAGGAGCCAGGATCTGGGGCAGCCTGGCTCTGGGACTACTGAGACTCGGGAGCCTATAGGTTTCTGTTTGACAGAGGTTCTCATGTTCAGTACTTTGAAGGGCCTGCCCTCCAGCTGGGTCACCTTCTCGATCCACAGGTTGTAGTTCGCCAATGAGGTGTATATCCCTGGGGTGTTCTTCTCTCCACAGCTCCTTCCCCAGCTGATGATGCCTACCTGGTACCACTTCTCACCAGGCTCTGGGGTGCAGACCAGAGGCCCCCCACTGTCACCCTGTGGGTAGAGAACACAGCTCAGCAGGAAGTCCCGTTCTAAGCTGCCCATCTGAGGCTGGGCACAGCTCCTTCTCGAAGAGGATTCCTCAATTCCTTAGCCTCTCCAACTCCAGCTGCTAAAGGACATCTCCTTAATGCTGACCTTTACCCACCCATCTCTGCTCCATGTGGCTGCCAGATTAGCTCTGAAGGTCGTGTGGGCATAGAGCATTGAGGGTGGGGTGCTGTGGATGAGACAGAATGAAGAGTGGGGAGCAAGAGGGAGGACTTGACGAGAAAAGACCACTCCATCTGCAGCACAGAGAGACACAGGCCAAGGGATGAGTAGAGACTTGTTTAGAGGGTTTTATCAATTCAAGAGGCTCTGGAAAGGGCAGGAAAGGAAATGGGACATGTGAAAAAGTGTGGTAGGGCTAGGAACTGGGTTCTCCTTTGTGTTTTTGGAGAGGCACAGGGAGAAGGACATTCCTTTTTAATTCAGCCAAGCTTTTCAGAATGTGTGATCCTTCCAGGATGGAATCACATGGTCTGTGACTCCCATAGTTACCCACTTATGTAGAGCTTCTGCACCAAGGCCCTGCCATGCCCCACATCCACATACATCAAAGAAACGCCCCACATCCTTCAGTGCACCTTCACACAAAGCAGATGAGCCTGCAGGAGGAGAAAGAGCTTGCTGAAGGTTCTATGGTAGCCGGGCTGAGATTGGAACCCAGGATTTTCTTTTTATTAATTTTAAATTAGTCATTATGGGTACATAATAGTTTTATATGTTTATGGGGTCAACATGTTTTGATATAGGCATACAGTGTGTAATGGTCAAATCAGTGTAATTGGGATATCCATCCCCTCAAGCATTTATTATTTCTTTGTATGAGGAACATTTCAATTCCGCTCTTCTAGTTATTTTGAAATATAAAATTGTTATTTATAATCACTTATTGTGCTACCAAATACTAGACCTTATTCATTCTAACTAACTGTGTTTTTGAGCTCCTTGACTGGAGTTCCCCACCTGCTTTCCTTCCCAGCCTCTGGTAACCATCATTCTTTATCTCCATGAGTCCTTTTATTTGAAGCTTTCATTTATGAGAGAGAACATGCATTGTCTTTCTGTATGTACCTGGCTCATTTCACTTGATGTAATGTCCTCCAATTCTACCCATGTTGTTCCAAAGGACAGAATTTCATCTTTTATGACTGAATAATGTTCCATTGTGTATATGTGCGTCATTTTCTTTATTCGTTCACCCACTGATGGACACTTAAGTTGATTCCATACCTTGGCCATTGTGAATAGTGCTACAATAAAAATGCAAGTGGAGACGTCTCTTCAATATACTGATTTCCTTTCTTGTGGATGTGTACCCAGCAGCGGTAGTTCTAGTTTTAATTTTTTGAGTACCCTTCATAGGGGAACCCAAGATTTTCTTATTTAACTTTTACTTTAGGTTCATAGGGTACACGTGCAGGTTTGTTTTGTGAGTAAATTACATGTCACTGGAGTTTGATGTGTAAATGATTTAATCTCCCAGCTAGTAAGCATAGTACCAGATGGGTAGTGTTTTGCTCCTTACCCTCTTGATACCCTCTACCTTTAAGTAGGCCCTGGTGACTATTGTTCCTCTCTTTGTGGCCACGTATATTCAACCTTTAGCTCCAATTTATAAGAGAGAACGTGCAATATTTGGTTTTCTGTTCCTGCATTCATTCACTTGGGATAATGGCCTCCAGCTGCATCCATATTGTTACAAACGATATGATTTTGTTCTTTTTATGGCTCCATAGTATTCCACAGTGTATATGTACCATACTTTCTTTATCCCATTCACCATTGATGGGCATCTAGTTTAATTCCATGTCTTCGCTACTGTGAATAGTGCTGTGATGAACATATGCATGCATGTGTCTTTTTGGTAGAATACTTTATTTTGGGCGGGTATGTACCATGTGTTGAGATTGCCAGGTTTAGTGGTAGTTGTGTTTTAAGGTCTCTGAGAAATCTCCAAACTACTTTCCACAGTGGCTGAACTAATTTAATTCCCACTAGGAATGTATAAGCATTTTCTTTTCTCTGCAACCTCACCAACATCTGTTACATTCTGACTTTAATAACCGCCATTCTGACTGGTGTGAGATGATATCTCATTGTGGTTTTGATTCGCATTTCTCTGATAATTAGTGATACTGAGCATTTTCTTTTCATATGCTTGTTGGATGCATGTATGTCTTCTTTTGAGAAGTGTCCTTTCATGTCCTTTTCCCATTTTTTAATGGGGTTGTTGAATTTTTGCTTGTTGAGTTGTTTAAGTTCGTTATAAATTCTGACTGTTAGACCTTTGTCAGATGCATAGTTTACAAATAATTTCTCCCACTGTGTAAATTGTCTGTTTACTCTGTTGATAGTTTCTTTAGCTGTGCATACGCTCTTTAGTTTAATTAGGCCAAATATTTTATTTTGTTGCAACTGCTTTTGGAGACTTCCTCATGAAATTTTTGCTAAGGCCTGTGTCCAGAATGGTATTTCGTAGCGTGGCTTTCTTCTAGTGGTTTTACAGTTTTAGGTTTTACATTTCAATCTTTTAGCCATCTTGAATTGACTTGAGTTGATGGTGAAAGGAAAGGATGCAGTTTCAATCTTCTGCATATGGCGAGCCAGTTATTCTGCCATCATTTATTAAATAGGAAGTCCTTTCCCATTGCTTGTTATTGTTGACTTTGATGAAGAGCAGATGCTTGTAGGTGTACAGCTTTATTTCTGAGTTCTCTAACCTATTCCACTGGTCTATGTGTCTGTTTTTGTACCAGTACCATGCTGTTTTGGTTTCCATAGCCCTGTAGTATAGTTTGACATTGAGTAGCATGATGCCTCCAGCTTTGTTCTTTTCGCTTAGGATTGCCTTGCCTCCTTGGGCTCTTTTCTGGTTCCCTATGAATTTTAAAATAGTTGTTTTGCTAATTATGTGAAAGAATGTCAATGGTAGTTTGATAGGGATAGCATTGAAACTGTAAATTGCTTTGGGTAGTATGGCCATTTTAACGATAGTGATTCTTCCTATCCATGAGCATGGAATGTCTTTCATTTGCTTGTGTTGTCTCAGATTTCTTTCAGCAACGTTTTGTAATTCACAATTAGAGCTCTTTCACCTCCCTGGTTATCTGTATTCCTAGGTATTTTATTCTTTTGGTGGATATTGTGAATGGGATTTCATTCTTGATTTGATTCTCAGCTCGTATGTTATCTGGTGTATAAAAATGTTACAATTTTTTTTAACGTTGATTTTGCATCCTGAAACTTTGCTGAAGTTGCTTATCAGTTCTAGGAGACTTTGGGAGGTGACGATGGGGTTTTCCAGAGGTAGAATCATATCATCTGCAGAGAGGGATGGTTTGATGTCCTCTCTAGATGCCTTTCATTTCTTTCTCTTGCCCGATTGCTCTGGCTAGGACTTCCAGTACTGTGTTGAATAGGAGTGGTGACAGAGGACATTCTTGTCATGTTCTGGTCCTAAGGGGGATGCTTCCAGCTTTTGCTTATTCAGTATGGTGTTGGCTGTGGGTTTGTCATAGACAGCTCTTATTATTTTGAGGTATGTGTAACCCAGGATTTTCTGATGCCAAAGCCCATGCCCGCTCTACCTTTGTTGTGTTACTCTCTCACCAAAGGAACTGAGCAGCTACAACCTTGCAAGCAATCTTCAGTGGAGAGATGATGTCCCATTTTGTGATCCTGGAGAGGTGACTAGAATTAATGGAGTATTGTAACAAACTCTAATCAGGGAGGACGATTAATGTCTCCTGGTCGTGATGTGTGTATTAGTGTGTTCTTGCATTGCTATTAATAAATACCTGAGAATCTTCAGCCAGGACAGCTTCTCTCCACCTTTCAGAGCCTTTTTGTTTTCATTTTACAAGATGCTATCCCATGCTTTTAGTCATACTTAGTGGGAAGGGCTGGGAGAATTGTGTTTAATCCAGTTTCTTTGCAACCAGAAGTCTCAATTCTGTGTGCATATTTTTGATATTATTTTAAATTGTCCAGAAAGTAAAGAAAATACAAGGTTCATATGTCTCATTTTGGTCCCCACAGTGTTTGCTCCATGGGAAACTCCTAAGCCTAATGCTATGCTACACCTCTGCTTTCTCTCTTCCCTTTCTGCCTCTCACCCCTGTTCCAGTGCCCACCTCCCAAGGCTCTCATAGCCTATCAGAGAAAACTACCAATTTTCTCATATCAAACCATAGATTCCTTGTTATTATTCTAGATAAATATCTTCGCTTTCCTTGGGGCAGCCTCTCCATTACCGTTCAGAATATTTATCATCTGCATTTGTGGTTTTCTACCAACGACCAGGTCCACTGCCTGGCCAATGGGCAGGCCCCTAGCCTTCAGCTGGGACTAAGCAGATTCATCAGGGGGGCCACTTTTCAGATGAAGAGAGCATCTCTGAGCATTAAAGACAAATTATTCATCATTCTTCCTTAGAGCCGGAGGAAGCTAATTTGTGAATTTTTTTCTCCATTTTTCTGGGTATCAATAATTTTTTTAAAAAGTGTGCTTGTTTTATTAAAGAGAGGCAAAGAGACCAGACTTTGGTTCAATGAAACCCACATGCAACACCCAATATATTATCATTGTCTGTTTATCCACTGCCTGCCCTGGAGACTGTAGGCTCCCTTAGGGGAGGAACCATGTCTCATTTATGGGTCTCCAGGGCCTTGTATACTCAACAAAGGTTTCTAAATTAATGAATTAAAAGTGACTTCTTGTGTAAATACCAAATTCTCCTTGGACTTTTTTTTTAAGATTTCCCAGAAATGGGCTGGATGTGGTGGCTCCTGCCCATAATCCCAACACTTTGGGAGGCCAAGGCAGGCAGATCACCTGAGGTCAGGAGTTTGAGACCAGCCTGACCAATATGGAGAAACCCAGTCTTTACTAAAAAATACAAAATTAGCCAGGCATGGTGGCGCATGCCTGTAATCCCAGCTACTCAGGGGGCTGAGGCAGGAGAATCACTTGAACCAAAGAGGCGGAAGTAGTGGTGAGCCGAGATCACGCCATTGTACTCTAGCCTGGGCAACAAGAGCGAAACTCCACTTCAAAAAAAAAAAAAAAAGGAAAAAGAAAACAAAGAAAGAATTCCCAGAAATGAGAAGCCTTGGAGCCCTGTCTACCTAGTGTACCTGATGAAGATCAGAAATAGTTAAGCAGGGTTGCAGCATGCTGACTCCGAGGTATGCTCACTGACAGCTCCAGAGGCTCTGCAATCCTTATTCCCATGGCTGAAGGCGCTAGTTCCCACACATTTCCAGACACAGAACTGTCTATTCCCAGCAGAGAGAGGATACCCTCACACTGGCAGTTCTAATCGGGTGAGGACCTATAAGGGAGGGAGGGTACCCTCTAGTTACCTGGCAGGCATCATAGCTCTCGTTCTTGTATCCGGCACACAGCATATTTTTGGTAAGTTTTGGAAACACCTTTGAACATTCCTCCCAGTCCATGATGACCATTGGCGCTTTCATCAGATCCATTTTCATAGAGTTTTTGTCAGCTGGCCCAGAAAGAAAGCACATTAGAGAAGCCACCAGGACAGACGTCCCCATGTTCATATGCAGCTGACTGTGCCCTCGGCCCTGCACATCCCTTTGTCCCCAGCCCCGGTCCTCTGCCTTCACAGGCTCTGCAGCCCCTCACTTCCTTCCGGTTACCCCACGCCTGCAACTTACCCACTCCCCCAACTACTGGAATTCTTCTTCTCATTCAAAACCAAATTTCGACTTCCAAGAAGGCTTCTGCCATCATGACTCCAGTCAGCCCCACAGACTCGGCGTCTTGCACCTGGCCACTGACCGTTTCTCAGCATAATCCTGCCTCTTCATTACATTTGCCTTTTGTGACATTTGACTACATGAGGATGGCCTTTCCTTCACACAGGGCCCTCCAAAGTGAGTTTGCACTACGGGTGAAAAGACTTTAGGTTCTCAGCAAGGGCAGGTTGGCAGAGAGTGTTGAGACGGGATTAGAGGGGATTTGCAGAGGCCCCTTTTGGGCTGCCAGATGCCAGGAATTCACCTGGATTTCTCTTCATCTCATTAGCTCTGACCACAGAGAGATTTCACATTTCTTCTCTTGACTGAAGATTTTGAACTTGTACATGCCCTTGTACCTCCTCCCCCTCTTCTACCTTTCCAGAAGTGCCTGGAGCCCAGAGCCAAGGCCCCACCACTTTCCCTCTGGCTGCTAAACTCCTGAAACACTCACAGTCGTGCAGGCCCAGGCTTGCTGCAAATCGTCCCTGTGGACCCAGAGTCTCGTTGAGGCTGCTGCAATGCTTTTCTAGTCTCATCCCCTCCCCTCCCTATCTATTTGCTTTTGGTTTTGTTAGGGTTTCTTTGGGGACAGTCCAGCAGGCCCTACATCATGTCTTTCTGTCCCAGCAGACTTTCTTCTATTTTGGAAAGTAACCGCATAACAACAAGTAACAACAGATTCATTTCTAAGAAGAACCAGGCAACGCTCCAGGACCGTGAAAGCCTAGAACAGGGTGGGCATCTCCGACACCTGGAGGAGCCAGCTAGGAAACTTCACCGTAGGAACCAGGGAAGATGTTTGTGAATGCGGAGTAGGGGGCCTCTGGCTAAGTGGAGAGTTTAAATTCGATTAAACACACAAACCACACTGCTCTGTGCTGGCTGGATCAGACTGCTCCAGGGTACTGCCTCAGACCTGGTGTCTCAGCCTGGGGTGTCGGCACTCAAAAGGGCCTAAGGCTTGGGTTCTGTGAGCCCCCACCACACGGGAGTCTGCTCCATCACAAGTCCCGTCCTCGCTCCTTCCTCAGCTCTCCCCCTCCCCCGTTCCTCCCCTCTCCTTCAGATGCAGTGGCTCTTTCCGAAGGGGAAGCTGAGCAGTCACATACCAGCATCCGTCTGGCCCCAACCTGCCACCCAGCATTCGCTCCACGTGGTGGGGCCGGGCTGCGTGGGGACACAGATGGGCACTTTCAGGTCATCAAGCCTGATGGGTGAGGCCAGCAGCAGCAGGGCGATGTCATTGTCCATGTTGGCTCTGTTAAAGTCCTTGTGAATGATGATGCTGGCGACCTCCTTTATCTCCATGGATGAGCTAGTTAAGTCGTTGGTCCCCAGCACGACATTCAGTTCTTCTGGACTGGTGGCAGAGAACCAGAGAGGGGCAAGTGGAAAGGGGCAGGGAAATCACAAAAATGGCAGAATCGGCTGTGCCCAGAAACCTTAAATCCCATATAGTTCTAGGACCTTTAAACCCCACTGGGGCTGTTGCTCAGAAGGTGCGAGGATTGGAAAAAGGTAGGAAAAAACAAAAAAACGAAAAACAGAACACCGGGTGAGCAGACCACAGCCACACCACTGCACCCTCAGGGGCTTCGGAGGTATGAATGAGGTGCTTCAGTCTAAATACAGCAAAGGCAGACACGGGTTTGAGGAACTCTACAGAGCCCGCAAAAAGCCACTTGGCGTGGATTAAACTGGCCTCAGATAGATAAGGCATTCATTAGTACATCTGTTCTATATCATCAGTTGGCCTACCCACACTTTAGAAACTCAGGACCAGAAGTTAGTCTAGACCTGCCACTGACCAAGCAGACAGGATCTTCAGTAATCAGCCCAGGTTCAGAACCCCATGGGATACTGATAGTCCATGACAGCATGACAGCAGTTGCCACGAGAGTCTTTGGTTACGCCATGATGACAGTGTGCCCAGGCTGTTGATTAACCCTCTAAAATCAGCCTTTCTGTGTGTCTTCAAACTTCCTTGAGCTGGTGTAGCAGAAAGCACGAGTGCTGTGGCCAGAATTTGAATCCCGTTCCTATATACTAGGTGTGTACCATGGGTGAGTGGCCTCAATTTATTGGACCTCAGTTTCCTTATCTATAAATGAGGGCTATTCCTTCTATCTGCTCCAGGGGTCACTGTGCGATTAAATGAGTTAATAGAGAAAAGTTTCTTAGCAGGGTCCCCAGTTAGTCATCAGTAATGCCAGGGGTCCATCCACATGCTGTCACATAGAGAACGCACTGCACAGACCTAGGAAAGTAGGGGACCAGATGGCTCAGGAAGCCAGGCTTCAGAATTAGAAGAATTTCCCCCTAGACAGACTTGAATGCCTTAGGAGAGACATGTGGGCCAAGCTCCTTGGCTTCATCAAGCCACATGTGTTCCTGCAGAGGACAGGTGTGACCTCAGGTAGGTTGTCGCCATTTGCCCTGGGTGATGTGAGGAGGACACAGCCTCAGACACAGCCTCCATGTTCCCAGGGCTGCAGGGGATGCCATTCATGCTGACTAGAGACTGAACAGCCCCAGGTTCCTCCCAGCCACCAGGTGTGGCTGAGGGGAGGGTACTCTGAGAAGCAGCAGCAGGGGGCTCATGATACTTACAGCACCTCCTCGGAATGTAAGCAGTGAGCCGCAGTGAGAATCCACCACTTGTTGAGGATGGAGCCGCCACAGAAAGGTTCGTTTCTTGCCTGAATGCTCACCTGCCACGGAAATTCTCCCACCTGCGCCTCCACCCCCGCTGTGATTCTGGAATACCGAGTTCTTCCCTCGAAAATGGATCTGTCGCCACATTCTGGTGGAATGAAAGAGAGAGGAAAGGAAAAAGAGCAACATTTAGTCAGCATCCAGTGTGAGCCGGGGACCCGGCTGGGAGGAAGAGGCTTCCAAGTGGATATCCTTGACCCCATTCTGGAGAGGAGCTCACTGAGGCCGGCGAGCCAGGCAGCCCTCCTGACACCAGCTGGCAGATGCTCTGCTTTGTCTGCACAGAGCTCAGGGGGTGAGCCAGACTCATTGGCTCTAACTCCATCCAGCATTTATGATCTCAGGAGAGTCACTTCGCTGAGCTTGTTTCTGCTGCCATCCAGGAGAAATCGGAAGAAAAATAGTGTCCAATGCCAACTCCTGGTGGTGGGCGGGACCATAGCCCCCCACCAAAGAGGTCCAAGTTCTAAGAGGCCATGTCCCCAGAACCTGCGAATATTTTAGCTTACGAGGAAGGAGGGGCTTTGAAGATGGAATTTGGGTTGCTAAGCACCGCCCTCAGACTGGGGACTTTTCTGTGGGGCCAGTGGTATCACTGCAGCCCTTGAGAGGAAGCAGAAGGTCAGACAGAGGAAGAAGTGACTGCAGAGGAAAGGCACAGAGATGCAACGTAGCTGGCTTTGAAGATGAAGGCAGGGGCCCAGAGAAGCTTCTAGAAGCTGCAAGTGGAAATGATTCTCCCCTAGAGCATCCAGTAGGAATGCAGACCTGTAGCACCTCGAATTTAGCCCCGGAGACTTATGCTGGAACTCTGTCCCACAGTACTGTAGGATGAGACATTTGTGGTGTTTAAGCCGCCAAGTATGTGGTCACTCATTTCAGCAGCCCTGGGAAACCACTAGGGGGGGCACAGAAAGTGCCAGAACCTACTGGAAAGCCATGGCTGTGCTAGGCTGCTCCAGGCTGAGCAGCTCTTTTATTGGGGGATTGAGAGTAAAGCTGTGGCTGCCTGTGCTGAGGCGGGAAATTCTCCTTCCCGACAGAGGCTGGCTCCAGCTCCTTGCCCCCCAGGAAGAGAAGATGCTCCATTAATATTTGCTGACTTGAACATCTGCTTTGTGTTCTGGGACAAGGCATGAGTTTGACTCTAAAAAGCCTAAGACCCTCTTCTTGTCTCTTTCTTGCGGTTCGTTTTCCGACCATCAGCTCAACGGAAGCTTTGAGGGTTTTGTCATTTGGGTGACCCCGTAGTGGTCATTTTTGGTTTAAAATAAATACGGGAGTAAGAACTTAGCAAAGTGCATCCGGAGTCGTCTGCTGTCTAAAATGCATAAAGGCTGTCTTTGGGACTTCTCTTTCCTTTTTTTTTGTTTTTTTTTTTGTTTTGTTTTTTTTTTGTTGTTGTTGTTGTTTTTTTGAGAGATGGAGTCTTGCTCTGCCATCCAGGCTGGAGTACAGTGGCATGATCTTGGCTCACTGCAAACTCCGCCTCCCAGGTTCCAGGAGAGTCTCCTGCCTCAGCCTTCCAAGTAGCTGGGACTACAGGCATGTGCCACCACGCCCAGCTAATTTTTGTATTTTTTAGTAGAGACAAGGTTTCACTATTTGTTGGTCAGGCTGGTCTCAAGCTCCTGACCTCAGGTGATCCACCCGCCTCGGCCTCCCAAAGTGCTGGGATGACAGATGTGAGCCACCGTGCCGGCCATTTGGCACTTTTAGATCCATACTTCCTCTGATTTTATTTACATAGGACACTTACTGTGTGTCAGGCACTGCCACAAGCACCGATTCACTTGGTTGTCGTAACTGCCTTATGGAGATAGGCCCTGTTATTTTCTTTTTTTATTTTTTTGAGATGGAGTTTCTCTCTTGTTACCCAGGCTGGAGTGCAATGGCACAATCTCAGTTCACCGCAACCTCCGCCTCCCGGGTTGAGGCAATTCTCCTGCCTCATCCTCCTGAGTAGCTGGGATTACAGGCACGCACCACCATGCCCAGCTAATTTTTTGTATTTTTAGTAGAGACGGGGTTTCACCATGTTGACCAGGATGGTCTCGATCTCTCGACCTTGTGATCCACCCGCCTCGGCCTCCCAAAGTGCTGGGATTACAGGCGTGAGCCACCGCGCCTGGCGGCTCTGTTATTTTCATCCTCACTTTATAGTTGGGACAACTGAGGCACAGAGAGGTTAAGTAGTTTGCCCAAGGTCACACAGCTAGTCAGTGACTGAACCATGATATGAGCCCCGGGCAGGCTGGCAGCAGAGCTGGTGCTCTCACCGCTGCCCCATGTGGCTCTCTGCCTAGAATATTCTTCCCCCAGGCAGCTACCTGGCTCACCTCCTCACTACACCCAAGAATCTGTTCTTCGGAGCAGCCTTCCCTGACCTGTGTCTGAAAGAGCCCCTCCCATCCTGGGGACTCCTCATTTCCTATCCTGTGTTACATTTCTTCATTGCATCCTTGTTACCTTAACCCCTATGTTACCAGTCCCTTTTGCCTGGCTCTGGCACCAGAATGTAAGCTCCAGATAGAGAGGGCAACATGCTTGTCTGGTTGATAGCAGGTCCCAGGGTCCGAAAACCCCCATGGTGTGGAACAAGCACTCAACAACCGTAAGTCACCCTGTGACTCAGTGACTCCACTCTGGGAGTCTGGAAGGCAGCGCATGCGTGCAGCTGATGATGTTCACTGCAGCGACCTCCATCATTGTGACAAATGGAAAACAGTCTAAATGCTAAAGGTACAACCGCATCATCAGGCATGCCTTACCCACAACATTATGCTCATGGGGAATTTTTAATGGCACAGAAAAATGCTTGTGATATAAAAGTGAGTGAAAAAGTCAGGATGAAAATTGTATTTAAAACTTGTGATTTCATTATATTAAGAATGTGGGTTTTTAAGCATGGAAGGAAATACATCAAAATGCCAAGTGGCTGTGAGCTGGATGGTGGGCAGCTGTGATGGGTGCCCTCTGTCCCTCCGTCTGAGATGCAGAACGTGGGACGTGCTCAGTGCAGGCTCTGGGGCCAGACAGCCCAAGCTTGTATCCTGGCTCAGTGGCTTCTTCACTAAATGATTTAGGGAAAGCTACTTATCTTTGGGTATCCTCCTTTTCTTCATTCCTGAAAGAAGCGTAAGATAATGCCAACCTTGGAAGACTGCTGTGTGGATGAAATGAGAGGGTGGATGTCGAAGTGATTGACAAAGTGCTTGGACCAAAGTCTACTCTCCAGAATTAACCGGCAGAATTTCCCATATCCATTTTGCACCAAACTCCCCTTGGGACCCATCCCTCACATTCTTGATCCGGAGATCAACCCACAGCATCAGCATGGAATTGTGTGGACTTTTAGGTTCGTGCAAGAGCTCAGAGCCCGGAAGCAGCGATGCAAGTGGAAACGGCTGATTCTGAGTGGTCTGAGGAATCAAGCATTTGGGACCCCTTGCAATGGGACACCAGAGGAGCATGTTCTACTGATGCTGTCCTGTCACTCTCCCCACTCCCTGTTCATGCAGAGTGCAGCGGCCCCCAGGCTGGACTGAAGGAGGCCAGGTGAACCTGCTGCATTCTGGGCAAGAGGCGGTGGGCACAGGGCAGGCAGCCTGGCGTTGCGGTCACCCAGTGCAGGCCAGGCAGACAGCTCTGCCGTTTCTCCATGGGGCAACTTTGGGCAAATCCTCATCCTCAGTGAGGTTCTGAGTTCCTCGCCTACACATGGGCTGAGAGCAGATGCCCCACTGTGGTGGCGTGGGAGTGAAACACAGGGAAATACTCAATCCCTAACAGTTGCTGAGTACCCCAGTGTCCCTGATGTCTCAGCCACCCTCTTGGAGAGAGCAATGAGCCATCAGGGAGCTGTGGGAGGGCCAGCCACAAGGACAGAGGCACCCGTGCACTTGGCCTGACTGAGCTAGGCTTCCCTGGGTGTCTGCGGCTCCTGGAAGCCTGGTGCTGCTGGGAGCCACAGAGGCCCAGAGTCATGGGTCCCCTCCGAGTGGGAGGACTCAGCCTCAGCAAGTTCTAGGTGAGAGCTTCAGGGCAGCCTACTATTCCTTTGGGGATACAGTGTCAGTTTTCAGAACCAAAACTCAAGGTCTGACAGGTCAAACACTGGGCTGGTGGAGAGAGGAGAAGGTGAAGTGGTTTGGAGGAGGGGTATGTGGGGACCCCTGAGCTGTGACCTCATGCTCTGAGATCCACCCTCCTGGCAGCCATTCAGTTGGACCGTGAGCCCCCATCCTTGCCCCTTCTGCCCCTGTACTTACCACTGACGGGACCCAGGGAATGAGTGGGCAAAGGAGGGCGGTAGCCCTTCCTAGCCCCGCCTAGGAGAGACACTCCAGCCTCTGGGAGAGGAGTCTGTGGACCAAGCTGAGCTTCTGTGACCAGGGACAGGAGCAGCAGCACTGAGAACAGGAGCATGGCCCTAGGCTGTGCTGTGGGTCCGGGGGTGATGGAGGCCAGGGCTGAGGGAGTGAGGCCAGCACAGCATCTGGCTCAGATCCAGAGCCCCCAGGTGATGTCACAGTGGGCTGCGGAGCTGAGAACTCGGACTGCAGCATGCAGACTTCTTTTCCGGCTCTTTTGTTTCTAGGACAGCTGCACAGAGACACCTCATCCTCAGAGCCTTTTTATCCCCGGTTCCCTTCTCTCTGACCTGAGTGCCACCCAGCTTCCAGAATGTATTAGTCTGTTTTCATGTTGCCGATGAAGACATACCAGAGACTGGGTGATTTATAAAGAAAAAGAGGTTTGATGGACTCAGTTCCAGGTGACTAGGGAGACCTCACAATCATGGCAGAAGGCAAAAGCCACGTCTTACATGGTGGCAGACAAGACAGAATGAGAGCCAAGTGAAATGGGAAGCTCCTTATAAAACCATCAGATCTCGTGGGACTTATTCACTACCATGAGAACACTATGGGGGAAACCGCCCCCATGATTTAATCATCTCCCACCGGGTCCTTCCCACAACACGTGGGAATGGTGGGAGCTATAATTCAAGATGAGATTGGGGTGGGGACACAGCCAAACCAGATCACTGGGCTCTTGGTGGGCACCTTGCTTTCAGCCGTTGTCACCCCCAATCCTTTCTTGAGGCTCAGTTCAGGCCATGGCTTTTCTGTGAATGGGGGGGTAAGGTCTAGGGGAGGGGTTTGCAGCCTGGACCCTCAGAAATGGGGCAGAGCGCAGGGAGGCCTGGAGGCTTCTACCAGCACGTGTACCCTGTGGGTACAGCTGCCTGCTTAGTTCTCTGCCCAGGATTCTGACCTGGGGCCCCAGGTGCAGCCGCATAGGTCAGGTTGAGAGGTTCTGGCGTCCCCTCGCACCCTGCCTGGTGGGTCCCAGTCCCCCTCCTACCACCTTCTAGGTGGATCCCACGTGGCCCCCAGGTCTCCTGATGGGCCCCTCTGCATTCAAGATGAAATGACCCTCCTCAGATGGAGGTTCCTGGTGTATAGCCTCACCAGATGTCAGTGACTCAGTCATGGGCTTTGGAACTTGTATGTTTTTAAAAATTCTGCACCCCTCAGTGTACTGACCCAAGTGGACTTACCCATGCAGCCTGGGCAGTGCCTTCATGGCCACTGGCCGGGCTTAGTGGTTAGAAGGGACTTATGGGCTGTCTCCAAAGTGACCAGGTGTCTACCTTTCCAGTCTTACCTCCTTGGTTTTCTCATCTGCAGCACAGAAATACAATGCTCACCGGCATGCAGGTTACTGTGAGGCTTAAAGTACGATCAGATGACCGGGGACGTGGCCTTTCACAGGTGTGGCTCGAGCTGCTTCCCAGGAGAATTCCAGCACTTCTCTGCTTTCTCCCAAGGCAGCTCCCTGGCAACAGTTGCTCCTCACTGCTCAGGCATCCCCTCTGAGGCTGAGCCACAGCCTGTTGAGTGGTCCTGGGTGGTCCCCTCCCCACCTGCTCTGAACCATGCCTCACCCACCTCTTCAGCAGGGGATGCCTGGTCCTGATGGAGGCTGGGACTTTCCTGACTGGCAGGTGGGACAGGAGTCCACAGCACCTCCAGGCACTTGGTCCTGGTCTCACTACTTAGGCTCACTCGTTGGCCCTCAGGGTGGCCTCCTAGGGAGCTCCCTGGCTTTCCTCTTGCCCTCCTTCGGGCTCAGGTCCCCATTGGACCTGCCACTCACGCACCTGCTATATGCTAATACTTTCTCCTTTACTCAGTTTCTATTGGTTTTGGGGGTGGGGTGTGGAGGGGAGGAGGAGCCTGGGCTCCAGGTCTGTTGAGGGAATGGAGGATGACAGCTAATCTCATGGATGGGGAGACAGGGGCACAGGCATACCCACTGCAGACTGCTCATTTTCAACAGAAGAATCTGAACAAAATCATCGGTCACCTCAGAAAGACTGATTTCTTCACTCTTCAGAGTGGTCTCTGTCCCTCCCGAGAACATGACTTGGGTCCTATTCTTGTGAAGTACTCGTTCACTGTCCAGCATTGTTTTGCACATCTTCACAGTGACGCTGGGTTGCACCATGCCCCAGCTTCTGGGTGGAGACGCTCCAGCCTCACATACTGAGCCCTGCACAACTCCAGAGGGCACCATCCCCATAGACTACAGTGGGAAAGTCTCTCCCTTGGACTGGGCAAATGAGGGGTTCCAGGGTGAGAAGAGCAGTGCTAGTGTTCTAGTAGGAATCTGATGAAATTCACAGTGGAAAGGAGGCACATGATGATAGAGGTTGGATAGGGGTTGTGTGAGGACTGTTGCCTGGCTGACACCCCAGAGGCCCCAGGGTGGCATTGCTTTGGTGACTTTACCAAAGTCTTGGCCAGTGGTTCTCTGACTGTCCTAGCCTCTTTGTGCTATGACAGAATATCACAGATTGGGCAATTTTTTTTTTCTTTGAGATGGAGTCTCCCTCTGTCATCTAGGCTGGAGTGCAGTGGTATGATCTTGGCTTACTGCAACCTCTGCCTCCTGGGTTCAAGTGATTCTCGTGCCTCAGCTTCCCAAGTAGCTGAAATCACAGGTGCGCACCACCGTGCCTGGCTAATTTTTGTATTTTTTAGCAGAGATGGGGTTTCACCATGTTGGCCAGGCCGGTCTCAAACTCCTGACTCAGGTGATCTGCCCGTTTTGGCCTCCCAAAGTGCTGCGATTACAGGCATGAGCCACTGCACCCAGCCAGATTGGGTAACTTATAAAGAACAGAAATTTATTCTTTCATGGTTCTGGAGGCTGGGAAGTCCAAGATCAAGGTGCTGGCAGGTTTGATCTCTGGTTCCAAAATGTTGCCACATTTTTACATCCTGTGGGGAGGAGAATGTTGTGTCTTCAAGTTCTTCAGAGGAACAGAAGAGAGTGAACCCACTCCTTCAAGCCCTTGATCTATTCTTGAGGACAGAGCTTTCATCACCTAAACACTTCCCAAAGGCCCCACCCCTCAACGCTGTTGCATGGGGTGTTGTTTCCAGCACATAACTTTCGGAGGAGACGCATTCAAACTGTGGTGCTGACTTGGATGTGCAGCCGGGGGAGCTTGTTCTGTGCAGATGAGAGTTGCCAGATTTAGCAAAAACAAATGCAGGATGCCTTGTCAAATTTGAATTTCAGATAACAAATATTTTTAGTATAAATCTATTCCATTCAGTGTTTGGGACATACTCCTCCTAAAATAATTTGCTGTTTATTTGAAATTCAAGCATAACTCATATCCTGTATTTTATCTGTCAACGCTATTATCTGTTTACAGGCTTAGTCCTTCAGATACTGATTCAGTGGGACAGAGAAGGCCGGAGGTGTGGGAGAGGTCCGAGCACTTGTAACAGCACAGCTTCTTCCAGATGAATCCAAAGCAGATGATCTCTGGACATCTTTGAGAAGCGTCACTTAGGCCTCCTGTAGAGAGCTTTGCTGGGATCACGGGGGCCTGACTCACACCTGGGAAATCAGGGGGTGAGAGAATGGTTCTGGGCACATCATGCCCTCTGAATGGCTTTTTTTGTTTGTTTTTTGAGATGGAGTATCAGTTTGTCACCCAGGCTGGAGTGCAGTGGCGTGATCTTAGCTCACTGCATCCTCCGCCTCCTGGGTTCAAACGATTCTCCTGCCTCAGCCTCCCGAGTATCTGGGACCACAGTTGCCCACCACCATGCCCAGCTAACTTTTGTATTTTTAGTAGAGATAGAGTTTAATCATCTTGGCCAGGCTGGTCTCAAACTCCTGACCTCAGGTGATCCACCTGCCTCAGCCTCCTAAAGAGCTGAGATTACAGGCATAAGGGAGGGATGCTACAGGGTAGGGACTGCCTGGAACCCACAGTTTTTTCCTGGAACCATTGTGGGTTGCACAAAGAGAGAAATGCCCACAGGTGGTCTTATGATTCCTCCCATGAGGCTTCCTGGAGGGGGCAAAGAAATCTTTAAGAAAGAGTCTTAGTGTATCACCAGGTGCTCAGGGGATGACAGTGATCAGAAAGCAGCTCGGCATAGAGAGAGCCCCACCCTGGCCTGGGGACTTTGGAAGAAAGCCACCCAGCAGAGAACCATTCGGGAGCCCAGAGACACCCACTAAGAGCCAGCCTTAAATGTCTGCCAGGCCCAAGGAACAGGGAGCTGATGTGTGGCCTCACCTGGACCTGTGCCTTCGTCTAAATTTTGACCTGTAGCGGGCAGGTGAGCAGAGCTGGAGGTGAGAAAGGAACCAGGTTCCTAACGGGACCCAGGTAGGGAGGAGGCTGGGCGCTGAGTCAAATTCCAGGTCGAGAATGTAACAAAGTCTTGGATATTCTAATACACAAATTGTCCTGAGTTTGGACTCAAGTGACCATAGGACTCTTACCTAAGAATAATCAGAAAAGCTCCGGGTTCACCTCCAGCTTTTTTATTTGGACAGGACGCATCATGCCCTCTGAATCGCTTTGTTTTTGTTTTTGTTTTTGTTTTTGACATGGAGTCTCACTCTTGTCACTGGGGCTGAAATGCAGTGGCATGATCTCAGCTCACCACAACCTCTGCCTCCTGGGTTCAAGCAATTCTCCTGCCTCAGCCTCCCCAGCAGATACAACTACAGGCACCCACTACAACGCCTGGCTAATTTTTGTATTTTTAGTGGAGACAGGGTTTCACCACGTGGGCCAGGCTGGTCTCGAACTCCTGACCTGAGGTGATCCACCCGCCTCAGCCTCCCCAAGTGCTGGGATTACAGGCGTGAGCCACCGTGCCCGGCCTCTAATGTCTTTTAACAGGACCGTAGGAGACAACGAGCTGTGTGTTGATCACAATCCATGTCACATTGCCAGTTCCACTCCTCAGTGCGTTTGTCGAAGGGTTTTCCTTTCAGGCCAGTGGGAAAGGTCTGGCGGAAGCCTCATGATTCCTCCATGTACAGCAGTTTGCTGAACGGCATGTGTGAAAACCTGCAAAATCACACAAGCATGGGCAAGTCCCCTGGTGCAGGCAGGCAGATGTCTGGAACAACGGCCACACTCCACCTCC